TTCTTTTAAAGTCTTTGATTCATCCCATTCGAAAAAGACTTCAATGAAACGAATTCAATATAATTGTGTCATACTGAACCACTAATACAAGGTGATATCAGAAAAAAGTTCACGCATGATCTTATATTAGTTAGTGGTTTGAGAAGTCATCGTGCCAATAGATTTTTCAGTATCAAGAACATAACCCAGTATACCAAGTGTCATAATACAATTAATTAGACTCTTGAAAAAAAAATTTAACTAATTATGTTATAACACTAGATATACCAGTTATATAGTCCCGAACACTCTAAAAATTATCTCCATCCTGATGAATCAACAATGAACTCCTCCATGAAATCATGTCCCACTACTTTTGTTTTGCCCTAGATTTTCAATATTTGTGCATGCAAACAATAACATAACGGAAAAGGATCCGGTGGGAATCCTGTGATCGTGACCGTTCATCGTACATCATGCGATCAGTTTTCGTTAGGTATTATTTATACTTAATTTTAAAATTTTAATTTTGAAATGATTTCTGATTGCACGATGTATAATGAACGATCACGATTACGGAATCCCCAAGATCCATAGAAAAAAGATCCGGCGATGATCATTTTCCTAACATAACAACTCAGAGTAAAGGTTTAATCATAACCCTACACGTGGCCGCAAACTTACCCTCTGTCTACACTCAGGTCGATGACATCACCCTTTAGTGTGGCTTTTCTAGCGATAAGTCAACATAAACCTTTTATATGTTAGTCGTTTATGTGCACTTAAAATCAATAATACGTGTAATCCCCAAATGCATCTATGTTAACAAAAATCTGTGTGCATAATATCATCACCTTACCACAAAAGTCACATTTGAAAAGAGACATGTTTGTTAAAATGACGTTTACTAACTCATAGATGGATACCATTTGACGGGTTGTTTGTAGGGGTGGGCACGGGCCGGGCTGGGCCCAAAATTGGAGGGACCGGACCGGACCCACTTAAAAATATAACGGGGCAGGCCGGGCCGGATTTTACTATTTCAAAACTGAGAACTGGACCTAACCCGGCCCGTATAAAACAGGCCGGTTCCTACGGGTCTAACGGGTACCCTGTTTTTTTTTTTTTCTGAAACTGCAACCTTCCTCGACGTCTCCGCCTCCCTCCGCCAAGGCCACGCCTCCGTCTCTTGCTTAAATCCCACTCAATGCTCTTGTAGATACAAGATGTAGCTAAAGATATTGCTAATCAATCTTGATATCGCGTTGCACTTGAATTCGATGACTAACCAGATCATCAACAATCTGGAATCAATGGAGTTCAGGTCAGCAGCTGCAACAGAATCAATTGCTTCGGAGATGGAGAATTCAATTTCACAAAATCCTATGACTAGGGAGAATGCTCAACAGAGTCAGTGAATATGTAGACCAGGCCCCCTTTACCTCCCTAAAGGTGGTTCATCCCCGACATCAAACGAATGGTGGGCAGGTTGACGAGTTGATTGAGAAGCTCCAACTTAGGCGTTCTAAGCCAATCCAATAAGAGAGATTAGATTGTAATCACAAAACACAAGAACAAAAATTGTACAAAACCCAGAAACTGAAATCAATTGATTGATTCATCGAACTCCGAATTCAAATTTAAATTCAAATTCTTTCATTCAATTTTGTTTTCTTTTGAGCCGAAGTATATACAGATGAACAAAAATGGCAGACTGGGTTAGGTGGCGAGCCCGGTACAGAGGAGTGTGCGCCGGAGGGCTCGGGAGAGGAGGGGGACGATGCGGTTGGTGAAGAATGAGAGGCAGGGGGAGAGCTTTTGGCAGAAGCGGCGAAGGAAGTTTGGGCCAATGTCGTAATCGGCGAGCTTTTGCCGGTTGTTGTTCCAGTCCTCGCAGCGCCAGCCATGGTCGATTTGGTTGCCTTTGCATGATTTGTGGAGAACCCAGTTGGGATTAAAAACTTGAAGAAGAAGAAGAAGAAGAAGAAGAAGGTTCGGGGAGAGAGAGAGATCAAGAGGGATGAGAATCGATAGATCCGAAAGCAAAATCAGAAACCCAGAAGGAGGAGAGATCGAAGGAGGAGACTCGGAGTGGTTTCGGAGACTCGAAGTAGGGATAGAGAGAGGATGAGGGGAGAGTTGTGAATTGGGTCTGAGAATAAGAGAGAGGGTGATAACGTGATAGATGGTAGAGTAATAAACGGTCCGGGCCGGGGGCCCGTTTTCTCCAACTTCTAAAACCGGCCCGCCCCGTTATTTATCAAGAATCGGCCCGGCCCGTCCCGTTTAGTATTTATAATTTTTGGACCCGCCCCGTACCCGCCCCGAACCGCATGGACCCGCCCCGACCTGCGGGTCCAGGACCCGTTTGCCCACCCCTAGTTGTTTGCAACTAGCTAGTGGTGAGACTTTTCTACCAAGCATTATCCGTAAGAATATATAACAAGTTAATCTATTTGTTTGGAAAAGTATGCAAGCAAACGACCCACCATGCATAAAGACTTGTGACAAAGACTTTGACTCTTCAAGTCCACTACCACTACCCTTTGTGCATAGTCTATTAACGTTACTGTTGATGATTGAGAATCTTTAAGAATTTAGACCGCATTCAAAGTCTTTGATCCATGAGAGAGAGATTTAAATGAAACAAATTCAGGGTAATTGTAGCATAATGTACCATTAACAAATTCAGGGAGCTTTAACGAAAAACTTACGATATCGTTTACTTTAACGAAAAATCATATTTTTACACTAAAAAGTCAATTCTGGTACTATTTACTTTACCTTTTATTTTGTTCTTATCGTTAAAACTCAAAGTTTTCAAGCCTTTTTCGTTAGTTTTTCTAAAGCTTAATCCTTTGTCAAGTGGCGGGAGAGTCTCCTCCATTAAATTTTCTCTCATGCCCAAGGTATAAAATATCGATGATATCGGAAATATCGGTAATCCAAAAACACAGAAATATCGATGGAAATATCGGGATATTATCGATATTGATGAAAATAATATGAAAACCACGGAAATTGTAAGAAAAACTTGAAAATTTTTATTGAAACTTTGCAGGATGTTTATTTAGTTAATTATCTATTAGTTTATCACAAAAAATTGGAAGGAAATGCATTGCATGATGAATTTAACTGATTTAAGTTGATTATATAGTGAGCTGGCAAACATTGTGAGTGTAGAAAATATGTAGTAATTAATGAAAGAAGTTTAAACACCATAATCATTTATATATAATGAATTACTACAATATTTTACACTTTGTACATTGCATGGTAAGATACATGAATTAGGACACAATTGCCCATATGTATTGGATTAATAAACAATTTTAATTTTTGTTGTTAACGTAGGAAAGTTAAGGAAGCAGACAGATAAATAAAAAAGAGACTGGGCAGGTAAAAGATGAGAAAAGCAGAGTAAAAAAAAGTGGGAATATTCGTCAAACGAGACACACAAACCCAAAGGCTTATTCATTTCACAAAAAATTCGTCTTCCAAAACGCACAAAAACAGGTCCCCCACTCCCCACCCTCATTCTCCTCCCTCCGCGTTACCCACCCCCTTCTCTCCACACACCCCTCCCCACCCTCTATATCCACCCCCACCCTCCTCTTCCTCCCTCCGCATTACCCACCCCCTTCTCTCCACACACCCCCACAGCTCATACAATTTGGGCTTTGGATTTTCCGATTACCCACCAAATCTTCCCAAAATTACTTTAAAACCTCCGATTGTAAGCGATCGATAGGAAGATTCGGACTGGTGGGTTGTAATCGTTCGATGAAGAGAGCATCATCGGGGGACTATTCGATTCGGTGGGGAAAGGACGAGGTGAATCTGTCGCTCTCGCTTTTCTTGATTCGGTTTTACGAGAAGATGAACTACAATCGGTGGGTTTTTCCCTAAATTTCCCTACTTTGGATATCTAATTCTTGTTAGATCTTGAAGCTTTTTGTGTAAATTAAGGTAATTTTTGAATCATTATGCACTGTAATTCCATAATTTGATCTATTGGAATTTGGGTTTGCTTCAACTTCGTGTTTGTTTCTGGGGATTTGGGGGAATTTAGGCGGTGGTGATTGTGATTGCTCCATTGATTAAAATCATATTCATTTTCAATTTTTGATCAAGGTCCTTGGGTATTAATAACATCATTAATTATTTGAATAATAATTTTATTATTTTTAAATATATTCATTTAGTGTTAAAAATGTTACAATTAGTATATTTATATTTATGACTAAATTTTTTATCATATATTTTTATTTTTAGTTTGTACCTATTTTTAATTGCAAATATTTTTTAATTTGTACCAATTTTCTTTTCATTTTTAATTTGTACCCATATATTAGTTTCTTTTTGTGCCCAATTTTTTAAAGTTTTATTTGTGTTTGTATCCATGTGTATACCGTCACGTGACATTGTATATTTAATCAATGATAGAAAAATTACATATGGTATATTTATGTTTTATGCCTAAACTTTGTATCATATATTTATATTTTTAGTTTGTACCCACTTTTAATTTGCAACATTTTTTTAAAATTTGTTGTATTTTCTTTTAGTTTTATTTTGTACCCATGTATTAATTTCTTTTAGCACCTATATTTTCAAAAAATTCATTTGTACTCATAATTTTTTAATATTTTATATGTACCCTAATTTATTTATAATGCACTCATTCTTCTTTTTGTTATATGTGAAATGTACCTATTTTTTTGTAAAATGTACCAAATTTTTTAACACTATGGATACATTCTTTTTCCATTTATTATTTCTTATTTTTACATAGTTTTTATCCATTTATTAAATTAAAATGTTTGAATTTTTTTTATTGTAACCGTTTCTAATAGTATTATAATGAGGGATTTTAAATTTATAGGATTATAAATCTTATAAAATATCAAACAATTAATGTCAAAACTATAAAAATATAAATATTAATAGTAATATAATGAGGTGGGACTTTAATCAAACTTTGAATACTATTAAGATTTTAATCAAAGAATGTCAAGAATTAGGGACCGCATCAAAGTATCCAAAAAACCTCTGAATTTTCAAGCACCCAGTTTTCAAATTACAACTGAACACTTCACCGTTAAAGTATCCAAAATCCAGTTAGAAGTTTAATTATAAATGGAATTTTGATAAGCTTACGATAATAAGCAGCAACAGATTCCCCCGTTTCCATATGCAGCAAACACCTTACCATGAAACCCAATCTTGCTCATCTGTTCCTTACCCTGTTTCTGCAAATCATAACCCTACACGTGGCCGGAGACTCACCTTCTGTCTACAAACCGGTCGATGACATCACCCTACAGTGCGGCCTTTCCGGCGACCAAGTCAACCAACAGGACGGACGAACTTGGAGTGGCGATATCAACTCAAAATTCTCCCCCTCCCAAGCAGCTGGCAGCTCATCCATATTCAAAGCAGCAACCCCGATCTCCTCTTCCAGCCAAGTGCCTTACACCGCAGCTCGGCTCTCTCGCTCCGAATTTACGTACACATTTCCACTCACCAGCGGCCAAAAGTTCATCCGCTTGTACTTCTACCCCACCTCCTACGCCGCCGAGTTCGACCGATCTAAATCCCTCTTCTCAGTCGAAGCCGGCGGCTTTACCCTTCTCCGCGACTTCAACGCCTCCGTCACCGCCGACGCTTCCTGGTCGGAGACAGTATCCAGGGAGTTCTGTCTCAACATAGCATCCGAACAGAGCTTGAACATCACGTTCACTCCGAGCAGAGCAAGTCCAGATGCCTATGCCTTCATCAATGGAATCGAAATCGTGTCCATGCCCGACAATCTTTACTACACTCCACCACAAAGCGCAGATGGGCCTGTTTCCGTAGGCAGCATAAACCCGTATCCGATCGAAAATAACACCGCCATGGAGATGGTCTACCGGATCAACGTCGGCGGATCTCAGCTCTCGTTCAATCGGGACACCGGAATATACAGAAACTGGGATGGTATTCAAGTGGACTACAACTATTTGGACGATTTGAGTAAAAACTTTAGTGTTCTGCCGCAAAACAGTAGTATTCAGCCCGACTTTTCGAAAATTCCGGAGTACTCTGCTCCGGAAGAAGTTTACCGAACCGCTCGGTCGATGGGGAGGAACAAAACCATAAACAAGAGCTATAATCTCACCTGGGGGTTTCCGGTAGATTCTACGTTTTATTACTTTATTCGGCTTCATTTTTGTGAGTTCGAAGGTGCTGTTACATTGCCCAGGGACCGGCTGTTTCAAATCTTCATCGCCAATCAGATGGCGGATGTAATCACGTGGAGCCAAGGTTATGGGAAGCCAGTGTACAAAGACTACGTCGTTTTCGTGCCTGCCGGCGCCGGAAGTAAAAAGAAAGTTCATCTCTTTCTTGCACTGAAAGCCACCCCAAAAGATTGGTTGACGAATTACAACGATGCAATCTTGAACGGACTCGAGATCTTCAAGCTCAGTGATTCAAATAGGAATCTCGCCGGACCAAACCCCGTCCCGCCTCCCCTGCCAAATATAGCTCAGCCGGAGAGCCCCAAAGTTTCAGACAAGAAATCTATTCCTCTGCATGCGATCATCGCCGGTGTAGTTTCAGGTGTGTTTGTTTTGGCCTCTGTGTTTGGATTTTTGGTTTTCGGGAGAGGAAGAAAAGTCAAGGACACTGCCTCAGATGGGTCGTCATCTTTACCCCCACATTTGTGTCGTTGCTTTTCACTGTCGGAGATCAAAGCCGCCACCCAAAACTTCAGCCAGACTTTCATTGTTGGTGTTGGTGGCTTCGGTCACGTGTACAAAGGGCATGTCGACGGCGGGGCCACTCCCGTTGCTATCAAACGGCTGAAACCCGAGTCATCACAGGGAGCCCGTGAGTTCAAGACGGAAATCGAGCTGCTCTCACAACTCAGACACCGCCATTTGGTGTCTCTTATTGGGTATTGTACTGATAAAAATGAGATGATTTTGGTATACGATTACATGGCACGCGGGACCCTCGCCGACCATCTCTACCACACCGACAACCCACCTCTCTCCTGGGGACAACGGCTCCAAATTTGCATTGGAGCTGCACGAGGGTTGCGCTACCTTCACAGCGATGCCCAGGGCACTGTCATCCATCGTGACGTGAAGAGCACAAACATTTTATTGGATGAGAAATGGGCGGCCAAGGTTTCGGATTTCGGATTGTCGAAAGTGTGCACGACCACCATGTCCAAGATCCACATCAGCACGACCGTGAAAGGCAGTTTCGGGTATCTAGACCCGGAATACTACCGACGTCAACAACTAACGGTGAAGTCTGATGTGTACTCATTCGGTGTAGTGTTGTGTGAAGTATTGTGCGCAAGACCAGCTGTGGTGCATGCAGCGGAGACGAGGCAAATGAACTTGGCTGAGTGGACCAAGAGCTGCCATCGTGATGGGGAACTTGATCAAATCATTGATCCGAACATGAAGGGTAAGATTGAAACTGATTGTTTGAACAAGTTTGTGGAAATTGCTATGAGTTGCATCAATGATAGTGGGATTGAACGGCCGTCAATGGACGATGTTGTGAGGGGGCTTGAGTTTGCATTGCAACTACATCAGAATTGCGGTGACAGGAACGACTATGAAGCCTTCACTAGTGTGCCAGGTTGCGCTACGAATGAATCCGTTTTGTGTATATCTGAGACGATCTTCTCAGAAATCAACGATCTGAATGGGAGATGATGAGCAACATTAGAGTAATCTGGCTAGAATAATATGATGTATTAGCAAGTCAGTAACTATTTCTTATCAATTGTGTTTGTACCCAAATGAATGCTGAATTACTTGTAGCGCCTCACATTGCGTTGTTCTACTTCTGGAATAGCTAATAGCACTTTCCACTAACTAACTGCACTTATGACTACACGAATGCTCAAGCGTCTGTATTGCTTGTGGTCCAATAAAAGCACTTATCAACAAAGCCGCTTACAAAAGCAGTTTCATACCATCCCTAATTGGGTAGGAATGATGGATCCAAATCTTGTGGAAAGAACTATAAAAAGGGTAGACTATCGGGTCAAGAAATATCACCTGGGGCTGGAATATGCTCCATTACAATTTCCAGACGAAGAGAATTTTCCTGTTAAACGCAACAGAAGTCACTACCAATATAAGCTCATTTCACAAGAGTACAATGTTATAACATTTTCGAAACATTTGATCCAATTCCAAAATAACGGGGAATCCATAACAATTTCGTTCAACCTCCCATAAGTCAGTCAAGTGCACTGCCTGTGACCCATCGTCAGCCATCCTGTTAGCTCGAATGGTGCTGATAACATTTGCAATATTACCCTGATAATGAGAAACTCTGTCAGTATACGATTGTATAATGAAGATTTACAAACAAAGCAATGCAAAGAGTGGTTTTTCATACGGTAGCAATGAATCGGTCCTTAGTGAGCAATAATGAAATGCGGCTGCAGTTACTTACCCTCCAAGTTGCTAACTTTGTTCTTAGTGTAAGCCATTGTTCTTCCCCAAATACCCTCTCAGTACAGCGGCTGCAGATGAAAGGCCAATTCAGTTCAAGAACAAAGAGGCCTAAAAGAATGAATAAACAAATATATATGCATCTTTGTGCGTATGCAGAAGGTACGAAACACAGACTAAGCTCACAATCACCATTTGATTCATCTGGTCCATTTTACAGTCCATCAACTTGGCAATTAATGCCTTTACCACCCAAAGTTCAACTTCGTCAACATTAATCTGCCAAAAAAAAGTGCATAAGCATAATTAACCATGATGTCAGATTAAAACTTCTGGGACGAGAAAGGTAAGCCAACCTAACGTGAAGAGTATCTCTGATAGCACCGTAAGGAATCCGTCCAGATTCATCAGAACCAAGATCCATCAAGGAAATCAACCTCATCTTAGTTATGCAGTCTTCATGGACAAGGCCTATAACATTTCAGAAAGCATAATTTAGACAAACAGAAAAATGTATATAATCCGAAGAAAACACAGTCAGATGAAACTAAACCTTACCGTAGCTTTTCAGTAAATCAGGATTTGCAGCCTGAAACTCCAAGTAAGCATCCAGCCTCTTAGTCAGAAAGAACTTCATAAGCTGATATGCCAATGCATGCTTAGCATCCTTCTCCAGTTGCTCTACAGCAGGCATATTTAGCAAGTCGCACTGCAGCATAACAAAACCAACATATCAGTCATCTAAATGCCTAATGGAAGGGGGAAATTTGATCATCAGAGCCAAATGCCAAACACCCAGTTGTTTTGAAGTGATGATATAAAACCAGCACTCCGTCGTGTTTATACAGATATTATATGTAACTGCGGAGGAAGCATAGTAGCTTCTTCAAAATGCCGGAAAAACAATAATGTCTATAAAGATTCGATTCTAAACTCCACCACATAAAAATAGAATGTTTTTTAACAAGAAAAAGAAACATACTTTGTAAAGGATGAACAGTCACCAAAGAGAAACATGGACTAAAGAATTAGTTTAAAAAATCTTTGAAATTCCACAGGATCCTACAAAAATACCTGAAACATGTCTGAGGCCTTCACAAATTCCACAATTGTGCGTACAGCTTCCTCTTTGGCTTTACTCAATGTATGCACATCTTCACCAGAAAAAGTCGCCAAGTACTTGGTCAGGAATTTGAAAGACTCCTTTGCCAAGCTAAAAATACAACAGAAAATACAATTAATTGTTCTTAAAACAAATCGAGGAGAGACATGTCTATATGGAAAAAAGATCACAAAGCATATTTTTTGTGTTCTTTCAGAACATTAACGATGGTCAGAAATAACTGCCTCTGATCAGAGATCCCAATATTCCACTCTTTCAAAAAACTTTCCACATTTTTGAATGAAGGGATGACATGTTCAGTGACCTTCCCATGGATAGCCAGATTAAGAGCAGGTTGTACAGATTGAACAAACTGTAAAAAAAACGACAATGGTCAGAAGTATATTAAAAAAAAAAAAAATGTCAAAGTCATGATCACAATGGTATCATACATCTTTAAGCGCAATGCAGGCTTGTCACTTGATTTTTGAGGAATCTTTGAGGATATAAGTTTTGCCATCTCCAGTGCTTCATCTGGACTTTCAGACTTTGTAACAACATTGCAGATAACAGCGAATATGCAGTCAAGATCTGGAAGGAAAAAAATAATACATGAATTTGTGTACGATGAGCATTGACAAAACCGTTAAAATGGCATTTAATTGTCGTTATTAATTGAATAAGTTGACACTAAGTCCATATCATCCAATATTGATAATAAGAACATTTTAAAGAATATTAGCGATTTCGATTTCTACAATGGTAAGCATCTTAGTAATTGACCAAAAACACATGCAGTATTTTGAAGGAATTAGGCTAAGGAACTTCAAGCAAACATTGATATAATAGTGGATGAACGAGTATTGGAAGAAAAACCTCTGCACCGTCGTGCAATGCAATACTAAGCCTCTTTATCCATTTAAAGAGCACATAACATCTAACACTACAGATTGTACCTTTTCCCGAGACCTTTGACAATATGACCTCTGTTTGGGTTAATATTTGAACATTGGGCTGCAAGTGTGTGGAATCCCAAAGATGCCAATTAAAAGAAGACTTGCCTGAAGCCCAGAGATGCCAATTAAAAGAAGACTTGCCCGAAGCCCAACATTAGGCTCAAAGACAAATTGGCGCCTCCCCATTAATGCATAGGCCATGTGCCTATGATTTAAATGTCAAGTGATGGGGACTAATTCACAATCAGCCAAAAAGCACTTTTCAGTGGCAATACAAGTAAAAAGTGATGTTTCCATGCTTCTCCAAGATTCCATCCATGCCTATAAAAGGAGAAGACATCCACACCATTTGTATCAACCAATCAAGAGTAAGTAATCAAGCAAGTAGGCAACCAAGTGAGAGTGAGAAGTACGAGTAGTCTTGTAAGAGTGTGAGTTGTCTAGAATATGTCTCTAGAAAGAGTGAGTGTCATAGCTTCTAAGAGTGTCCTTGTGAGTGTTGTACTATTTTATGTGTCTAATACAAGTAATTTGTTTACTTGTTTTGTTTCTCCAACACTTGTGTTAGAGTTGTGTGCTCTAAGTTTTTCCCAACAATTGGTATCAGAGCGGTGTGATCGAAGACCGTCTCTAGTGAAGCTTCCGAGAATCATGAGAAGTTCAGTACTTTGCATGATTGTCCAGTATTTCCACAAGGTAAAGTTTATTTGCCGTGAACTTTTTGAGTTAGATCATAGTATTGCCATTGTAGAATCCAAGATAAAAAGAATAATTATCAATGGATTGAGACTCGAATATCAAGGCTTCGTTGCCGCTGTATAAGGATGGTCGACCCAACCATCACTTGTTGAGTTTGAAAATTTGCTTGCCAATCAAGAAGATTTGGCAAAGCAAATGGGAGGGGTCTCGTTAAGAGGTGAGGAGGAAGCGCTCTACACCAAAAGTAAAGGCAGCTTTAAGCAGCGTGCTAGTGGTGAATCGAAAACAAATGGTGACAAGGAAAAAGGTCATCAAGGAAGAGGGAGTTCTCGGACAGGGGGAGCTTCAACGTATCATGGCAATTGTGATCAGTTCCAAAACAATAAAAGGTTTGAGGACAAATGTTATAATTGTGGAAAGAAGGGCCACATAATGAAGAATTGCTGGTTCAAAAAGCATGCAGAAAGTAACGTCGCCAACTCAAAGAAGAAAAGTGAATGATTGAGACGTCGTAGCATATCTAGCTATGGAGGAAGAACGGGACGCTGAAGCATCTTCTTGGTGGTGCTCAAAAAATGAAGTGTGGCTTGACTCGAGAAAGATTTGCATCTAAAAGCTGTAATGAGCCTAGATCTTAGTCCTTTTCAAGATATCTCCCTCACAAAAGCTATCTTTTATCTTGTTTAGAAGCTCTGTTATCACCCCTGGCGGCGTAATATCGATTCCTTTGTGTAAGTTGGTTTACCATCCATCCATTTTTAGTATAGAAACCTTCGTAAACTCAAAGAGAAGTGATTGCAAGAGGTTCAACCTTACCAGACAAGGTGAAATTTTGCCCGAAGCTCTTTGTTTGCTTTCTGAATTTGTAGATCTATTACCTAAATGCATTCTCCAGTATGTATTTAAGTCATATCCTCTTGTTTTCCTACTTTAAGAGTTTTATTTGTGTCTGGATTTGGTCAGTTTAATGGATATGCTTTCATTTAAAACCAATCAAGAACCAAACAAATAACTTAAGGGATCTGGACTCCCCTCATTTGAACATATAAGACTGAACTACAAGTCCTTGTTCGCAAGGCAAGAAAAAGAACTTAATGTGGACTTGAACCATCCACGACAATCCTTTGATAACAGGAAGTCCGAGTAACTTGGAGCACAAGTAATCGACTAAACATAATCTTGTGCTACATCTGCTATAATGAGATAGTAGTGGCACGCCTAGCACTTGGTTAGTTTTGATTGCGAGCCTCAAGGCCTACACCTAAGGCACCACAAAGGCACATTTCAAAACTAACTTTGTCCTCTTCTTGCTGCACATTAGCAGGCAAGAGCCCGACTACACATCCAAAGTGTCAATCCCTTGGGGAGCTGTGTTGAGTGTCGAGGAGCCCTATTCGGAGAAATCTTCGCCCGAACAACCTCAACCGAAGTAAGCATAAGGGACACCAAATTGAACCACCCATGTCCATTACCATGCATTCTTGGGCTTCGGCACATTGTCTAGCAACTTGTGGCTCAGCAACCTGGCAAATAATCATGACAAAGATAAATCTCTTCCTTTATATGGAAATCAAGGAACAATGGCCATTCCCTTGACTCGTACTGATGAAAATTTTACTCCATATGAGATTGAGCAAAAAGTTGCCGAATTGGCCTACAGGAAATAGTGATATGCATATGTTTAGGTAGATGTCAACTTCAGCGACTAACTTCATCATGATTCATGTTGATTATTCATCGTTCGGGACGTATCTCCATCACACTCTCTCGATAGCAAATAAGAAGATATACATCCAATATGAGTGATAGGAAAAAGAATGGAAACTGCTCTAGTGATGCATCAACGCAAGTCCTTTTCATTTCTTTGTTAACTTTTTTTTTCCACGACGACTTTGAACAGACGAATCGAAATACTTCACGATTTGCATGCAACAAAACAATCACAATAATTGTACTCATGCAACAAAACAAAGCCAATTGTATTTGCCAAATGTATATTAGTGAGTGACATGTAGGCTTGTATTATTTCCATGTCAATATTTGTTAGGTACGGTCAGTGTTCTAAATAGGCTAACCTACTAACTTTCTAATGCTTACTGTGCCTCAACAAATGCTGACATGAACATACATGCTGCAAACAGAGGCAACAGACTTTAATACAACAAATTCCAATCAAAGATTAAATTTGAGGTCCGGGAGATCCTCAGACCAACAACAAAAACAACCAGTGTGGAAAGGCATATTGAGTTAAGCGGTCAGCAATGGTGTTGGCTTGGCGGCGCACATGGGAAGGAGAAACTCCAGCAATCGTAGCCATTGTTGATTTGGCATCTTCAACAATTGGAACAGCATTGGACAAATTAAAGGACTCCTTCAAAGCAGCAACAATCTAGGGCGAGTCGCTCTCAGAGAATCAAATTTTGTAAAGCCTTCTTGGCTGCCAAACCCAAACCCTCTCTAGCCACGGTGCCTCCACGAACAAAGGAGAAAAAGCGTTCACCACCCCAGAAATAGAAGCAGCCACAAATTCTCCGTTTCCGTCTCAAATTATTATTCCAATACCTCTAACCTTCATGTCTATATCCCAAGCAGCCACAAATTCTTCATTATCTTCAATCTTCTTGAAAGTATTGTTGTGCTTTGGCCTGTTATCTCACCAACTTATAAACCCACAGATGAACAATTTAAAATACAAGAAATAAAGACACCAAGAGAATTACGAGGTTCGGCAAAAACCTGCCTACGTCCTCTGAGAGATATTGCTCTTCACTATGAGAATAACTAGTACAAGATACACTTGAGTTAAATCGACATAACCCAAACCCCCAATCCCTTGTACCCTCACAGAATTTTACTAAGAGACTCACTCTCCCCATGAGTTTCTCACTCTCACTCTATATTTTTCTACCACTTGTGTTCTCCTCTGGATGTTCCCACCATTCTCTCCCCCTCTCACTCGGCAAGCCCTACTTAACATGCAACCCCTTTCTTTCTTTATATTAAATTACAAAGAAAGCAAGCACACTTGCATAAAGAAAACCAAGGTTTACGGGGTCATGTTTCCAAAGTCCAAAAGCAAGCCTACTCTTGCTTTGTCCTTTGTAGCAACTTTAAATGATGACTACAAACACAATCATGATTGTCTTCCACAAAACATGCTCCTTGCTTTGCCTTTTAATCAAGCCCCAAAGCCACTCACGGGTTACCTTATTGTTGCTAGCTCAAAATATGAGCCAATCACAACAAGTATCGTTTCTCTTAAAAAAAAAATTGCTTACATGTCACTAATGTACATTTGGCAAGTAAATTGAACAGATATTCACTTCTATCCTACCCTATCCAACTCAAGGTAATTAATATTAGATTAAATTACAACAGTGGTCCTAGAATTGTATAGCGAGTTTTGTTTTGGTTCCTGAACGCTAAGAATAGTTTCGCATGTCTTTGAATTAAGTTTGATGTTATGTTTCACTAAAGGTCCGTTTCATTATCCCTGTCAACTTTTCCATTAACTTAATGTAAAGTAGGAATTTCATTTAAAAATAATCAATAATTGGAAATAATACTATGTTTGTAAAAAATCTTGAATTATCGATACTGGCCCGCGTCGTTATCAGAAGAAAAAAAATGTTAAATAAAAGATAAGAAAATTATTTAGATTAATTTCCAGGAAGTTACTTCAAAGTTAATTATGACAAAAGAGAAACAAGTATATTTCTCATGTTGACACACAGTTCATAACGAAAAACAGGACAAGAACCCAACCAGCTTACGTATTATAACCAATTTTCGAGCTTCATCCTCCATCGCCATTAGTTCAACCCCTCACCCTCATCCATTTCATCTCTCTCTCTCTCTCTCTCTATCTATCTATCTATATATATATATATATATATATATATATATATATATATATATATATATGTATATTAGGGGTGGGCACTTGGAACCGAAAACCGAAACCGAAACACGAATCGAATCAAACCGCACCAAACGGTTTGATTTTGCGGTTTTGAAACGGTTTCGGTTTCAAAACTGAACCGCAACACACAAAACGGTTTGGTTTCGGTTTTGGGTTTTCAAAACCGCACCGAAACCGAAACCGAAACCGAAACCGTACTATATAATAAATAAATGTTATATAATTTATATTTTAAACTTTTCAACTAGGTTATAACTTATAGGTTCGGTTTGGTTTTGCCGTGGGTTTGCAAAACGGTTTGCTTCTGCTTGCATCTCTACTTCTGCCCTTGCGACTGCGAGTCTGCGACCTCAACTCTGCAAATCACTGCCTCTGCGACTACCTGCTTGCATCTCTGCCTCTGCGACTACAACCTCACAGTCACTGAGTCAGCTTGCCTTGCATGCCCATTGCCCAGATCCCCTTCATCTAATCTAATTTCTGCAAAAGCTCTGCAATATGGTAAGAACTTAGAACTTGTATCATTCATCATTCTACAATATTTGATCTCTATATATAGCTAGTAGTACTAATTCCTCTGCCCCTGCTTCACCACCTCTTGCTACAGCCGCCAAAACCCCTATTCCTCCCGCCCACTAATTGCAATGCCATCTCTCTCTCTCTATCTTTCTGTCTCTGTGACCCTTTTGATTTCAAGTTGATCAAAATTTTGATGGAAGAAAATTGGTGAAGTGGAAATATATTGAGGGAGTTGTCTTATTAATACTCAGGGAGTGATGGAAGAAAAGAAAGAGTAGGGTGAAAAGTCATATGATATTTGTCCTCATTCTCTAATGTTTAAATTTTGTCAACCCACAATTGTTGTCCATGACGCTTGAATTGAGACTGCTCAAACAATATGTAATGTTTTAAGTTTGATTTTTCTTTGCCAAATGTTAGTGAACTGCTTTTCGTAAGGACCTTTTAGTTTTCGATTCTGATCAACATTTAGAGTATGTTTACTTAAATGAAACATCGGTTCGACATTAACTAGGAATTAGATTAACTAGGGTAGTTGATCTCATTCCCATTCATTATTTTCCTTGTTCGAATCATTGACTTATTTCATTTCAATTAAGTAAACATAACATTAAAATACGAGAAAACAAAGTGCAAAAACAAGATTTGAAATTGGACATTGTGTACATGCTGGGAAAAAAAAACAAACAGAATGTGCTTCAAAGGCACTGCATTTATATGTTACATATTATAAATGGGGCATATATGGTTTTGGTGAAATTGTTTATATGATTAGCGGAAAGTGTTGGAGCCATTGCAGTTCTTTATGTCCTCTTGCAGAAATACACTGCCTTTATCGCCACGGCACAATTCTGTGTCTGTTATAAAATTAATCCACCTTTGTTGAAGAAGATCAAAGATCTCTGCGTCTCTGTTTTGGTGTAGTTTTTGGTGCTGTTTTTTTATGCAGTTTAGGTGCATTATTTTTGGTGCAATTTTGTGCAGTTTTGTGCAGTTTTTGGTGCAGTTTTGCTGCTGTTTTTATGCAGTTTTGCTGCAATTTACTGCATAAATAAGTGTGTAAACTGCCGATTTGCCCCCTGAACTATCACCCAACTTTCGATTTGCCCCCTGAACTTTTTAATTGGAAAATTAAGGACTTAAACTAATTTTTTTGGCCAATTTGCCCCCTGCTAATAATTTTTCATTCATTCCATCCAAATTTCTGTTAAATGGAAGCATATGCACAACATGTGTGGGTAGTTCGGTCACTTCATTCTTTAAAATAATTGAAAACCTTAGATTTCTAAAATATAAACCTATGCAAATATGTGTGATTCTATAGCTTTTCTATCTGAAGGTCTAGTGAAATGACGCTTTTGTCCACAAATGAGAGTTGCGTAGTTTGCACATGATAAGAGTTAACGTTAATTTAGATGAAATTTATGAAAAACTAACGGTAGGGGGGAAATCGGCCAAAAAAATTAGTTTAAGTCCTTAATTTTCTAATTAAAAAGTTCAGGGGGCAAATCGAAAGTTGGGTGATAGTTCAGGGGGCAAATCGGCAGTTTACTCTTTAAATTATACATTTTTTTTTCTCAAAAACCAAACCGAAACCGTTTGAAACCGTACCGCACCGAACCAAACGGTTTGGTTTCATTTCGGTTTTGACTTCAAAACCGCACCGCACCGCACCGCAAAATGTTTTGGTTTCGGTTATGGTTTCACTCGAAACCGCACCAAACCGCACCGCGCCCACCCCACCCCTCATGTATATATTACTTTAGTCTAAGGGGGGTGTATTCAATTGAGAATGTGAGAGATTTTAATGAATTTATAAATCCATGGATTTTTATAGAGTTTAATTGATTTGTAGAGATTCCATATGAAATTTTGATTCAATTCCCTCGAAATCTCATGGGAAGAGGTGAGATTTGTGGATACTTAAAATACACTATGAAATCTCTCAAATTCCCTCTAATTCCTCAACTTTCTCAAATTCTTTAAAATCAATTTCTAATTGAATACACCTGGAATGTTATAAACTTCTTTAAAATCTTAATTGAATACACATAGATTTCTAAGGATTTTAATAAACTATTTTAAAATTCTAATTGAATACACCTAGAATTTCAGAGAATCACTTAAAATCCTGATTGAATACCCCTAGATTCATTAAAAGAATTAAAATCCCTTAAAATCCCAATTGAATACACCCCCCTAAAGTAGGAGGAAGAGTGGCACTGTGAAATTTTGGGTTGATTTCAGTTTATTTACAAAATTGCCATCGGGCTGATTTCAATCCAATTTTCGATTTATTTACACGATTACCACTGGGCTTAAGAACGGTTTTTCAGTGTTTGGGCTGGATCTGGACTTTGAGTCGGGGAGAGAGAGGGAAGGGGGACAGAAGGGTTGACGGGTTAGAGGGAGAGGTTCGCCGGGATTTAGAGGAGAGGGGAGAGGGGAAAGGATTCGGCAGTGAGGTATGGGTTTAGGGAGAGTAAGGGAGAAGTATGGGGTAGTTTGATTTCCAGGGATTTCTTTTCACCCCTTCACTATGGAGGTATGGGTTTAGGGAGAAAGAGTGGGAGCAGCTTCCGATCACTTCACTCTCTCCTTTCGAAACAATCAGTATGTCCCTCTCTCTCTCTCTCTCTCCCTCTCTCAGTTCAATCAATTACACGATCTGTATACTTATAAATTCTTAGCTGATATACATATACTCTTAAATTCTTGATTTAATATCAAATTTGCTTTTGAAAAACGATTTCTTCTTTTGTTTGGCGATGAATTGTAATAAATTTTCTGTATTTTGGGTAGGTTTATAATCCCATTTAGCAGAGTCGTGTCGCTTCCAAATGAAGAAAATGATAAGTCCTCTTCTTCTGATGCTCAGGTTTTTTCCCATTTACATTCAAAGCAACACCCTTTTGTTTCTTTTTGCATTTGGGTTTTTGCGATTTCTGTTTTTTTTTCTTTGTTTTGTATTTCTAATTTATCGTTTGATGCCGGACAATGGTGATTGTTTGTTTTAGTTTGGATGTTTTTCTGATTTTGGGTTGGTCAGTTTTTTTGGGCTGCTTGAGAAAATGTGATCCCATGTTTTGATTGAGTGAAATAATTAAGAGATAAAAAAGAGTGGAGAATTAGTGTCAAGAGTAGTGATGGAAAAAATGAGGAAAAAAGATAGATGTGGAAGAAGGGGGGGGAGGGGGACTGGAAATCGAGGAAAGTGAAGAGAAAAAAAAAAGGGGGTTAAGTGAGCAGCCAAAAGAGAAAAAATGAGGAAAAAGGCTTAATGTGGGGAGTAGGCAAAAGAGAAAAGCAAGAGAAGGGAGACAGAACAGGAACAAGGTGTGGTTTTGTTGTTAGTTTTATCCAAATTTTTTATTTGGAATTTGATTTGAAGCTTATGTCTTATTAGTTTAGTCTAATTTAGTGTTGGTTTATCTAGGTTTGTAGCTAATTTAATGTTAATGTTGATCTAGGCGTTTTACTTTGTTGTGAACTTATATGGGTTTCATTTTTTAATTGTTATTTTACAGTTGCTAGGAAAATAAATTACTATAATACACAGGAAAAATTGGATTGATATTATTGGTTTGTACGCAGAAATACAAAGTACCCAAAAATCTGAAGTGGAAAAGAAAGGTATCCATCTCCTTTTCTTCGACTTTTGCTTCGTTTTTACATCTTTTTCCATTTTTGGGTGACGTTTTGTGCTTCATAATTGGCTTTAATACAAAATTATTGAAGCTACTAAACCCCCAATAGGTTCTGTTTGATTGATTGTCTATTTAGGGTGTTTTTTAGTTTTGCTTGCTGGGTTCAGATTCATTTGGGTTTATATGTGATTTCCAGTCGATTATTTTTTTATTAGTTGCAGATCATATTTACTGTGGAAGTTTGAATCTTTGTGGTTGTTTCAGTGTAGTTCTTGGGTACACACACATTTATCCAATAAATAAGTTCATGAGATTGTTTTTAGGGGATGGACAGAAGTCCCTGGCAGCAATCTCTCTATAATCATCGCCGGGAAAATATCGTGGTCATTTTGAGCTCGGATTCAGCCAGCATGTGGTAAGCGTTTCTTTTCCGATTACTTTCATTTGTTTATTTGTGAATCAATAACTTTTTTAGGAATAATGAATGTCACAATTGCTGATAAATTGATACTTTGTCTGGAGCTTGAACTGTGGATCTGTGCAATTCTCAAGGACCTGCATCTGGTCCTCTCCCTGATCCTCCTAATGATTATGACACATATTACTCAATGAATCAAGCAAGATCCATAAGGTTGTAGTTGATTATGTTTCTTTTCTGTTTACTAACAAACACTCATTCAGTTACTCCCTAAATTTTGATGGCAATGGTAATAACCTTCATACGTACAGAAATTGCTTACCTTATTATCAGTGTTGTCAGTCATTAACCTCCGACAAAACAAATTCTTTTTTCGTAAGCGTTTGTTTTATATTAGAGTTGCAATAATCTTTCCATACATGTTGTCATACCCCCCTGAGCTTTTGCCAAAGGCACTGACTGGTTGCTGATTTCAGGTTCACGTACAAATGTGACTAGCAGGTAAAGTTCCATAAGGAGGTGGAAGCAGAAGAAGAATTGGCGTCACCCTTCAGTTTTTCAACCAAAAGGAGCTAACCTTTATAAATGATTGAGTAAACTGTCATTTAACCCTCTAAACTATCACGTGAGTGTCAATTTCCCCCCTAAACTATTTTTTTAGCCCCCCTAAACTATGTTAAAGTGGCTAATTCACCCCCTACCGTTAAGTATCTTTAACTCCATATAATTTTCTGTTAGAAAGTGTCATGTGCTTGGCACATGACCACCTTTTTACATTTTCTGTCTAAATCTTTACAAAGAAAACATATAAAACAAATATTAAAAAAAAAAAAACATACAAACCCTAAAATTAATCATTCAAAATAATAGAAAAAGTAAGGCTTTTTATATTAACACCCCACAAAATGTTGAATGCACCCCATATTAAAATTTAATATTAAATGACTTATTTACTCCACTATGCAATGATAATTTTGATCTTATTAGGTTTTAAAAAAAATAAAATTTTATAAATACACCCCAAATCACTTTTAGCGTATTATTTATCTTCTCATCTATTAAAACCCTCTCATCCTCCATTGTTGAACAAAGCCCTAACCAATGAAACTACAAACATGTTCATTGAGAAAAATTGTTTTTGACGAATGAAACACGAAATCGATGTTTTAGTGATTTCGATGACATCGATAATTATTTAATCTTGCGTTTGTTGCATTATTTAAACTTCTATATTCATATTCATCTTTTAGGGTTCATATTGAAAAATAATGCATAGTGGAGTAAATAAGTCATTTAATATTAAATTTTAATATGGAATGCATTCAACATTTTATTTTTTTAATACAGGCAGAAAAGAGAGAATATAAAATTTTATTTATTTTTAAATCTAATAAGGTCAAAATTGTCATTGCATAGGGGAGTAAATAAGTCATTTAATATTAAATTTTAATATAGGGTGCATTCAACATTTTGTGGGGTGTTAATATAAAAAGCCTTACTTTTTCTATTATTTTGAATGATTAAGTTTAGGGTTTGTATGTTATTTTTTTTAATATTTGTTTTATATGTTTTTTTTGTTAAGCTTTAGACAGAAAATGTAAAAAGGTGGTCACTTTCTAACAGAAAATTAGATGGAGTTAAAAATACTTAACGGTAGGGGGTGAATTGGCCACTTTAACATAGTTTAGGGGGTCAATTGATTGAAAAAATAGTTCCCCGGGGGGAATTGACACTCACGTGATAGTTTAGGGGGTTAAATGACAGTTTACTCTAAATGATTTATACAAGCTTCTCTGTTTTGTATCTCTGAAATTTGAGTTCTTTGACTAAAACTGTGAATACTGATTGGTAAATATTTCGTTTTCTATGGGCCATTTGTGTTCTATTTGGGTTGTATTTTGAGTCATGTAATTCAAATTGCAAACAAAAGGCTAAAGAAGATAAATATATTACAAGCTCTCATGGGAAATGTGAAATTGAAACTACACTATGGAATGTTAAATATTTAATCTAAATCTGAAGACCAAAAATAAAATAACTACTTAGTAGAGTTAAATTTTTAGCCTCAAATATCCTTAGGCAGACACAAAATTTTGACCCCAACATCCAATTTTTGATAAGAGTTAAGAGTTTTTCTATGACTGTATTACTGTGCTTGATAAATGAATGACGAATTGGAAATAGTTTCTTACTTATGTTTTTCTTAGGTGTGTACTAAACTGGATGTTGGTTTGGTTATTTCCGAACTTTTCACATGACTTTCATTACCCAATAGAGAATATGAAAATGAAGTGTTATTGACACTCCAAAAATCTCATTCTACACTCCTCACAAGTGTATTTTTCTTTCTAAATATAGAAAGTTTGGAGTGTAGAATGAGAATTTTGGAGTATCAATAACAATTCCCATATAAAAACCCTAACCTTAATTTTGTAAATTGATTTTGGTACCTGCAAATGAGAAAAGGGTAAAGTTTCTTATCCCTTTAGTGTTTGATCCTGAAATTAATTTATCTGTGAGTCCTGGATTTCTGTACATTTTGGGTAAATTTCAACGACTTACTCTTTTTGAATGCGTTTTTATTTTCTATTTTTGTCTTTGAGCTTCTGCTTTTTGGGCATTTTGGGTTGTATTTTCTATTTCCCAGTCGACTGGAAATATTGAGGGGGAGAGAGAAAAATTGCTCTTCAATAACTATGCTTCTATATTTCTTAAGGTCTGGTATTTGATTAATTAGAAATGACAGCTTTACTCGATTGCTGCTTTTTTTCTATCAATTTAAGGTACTATGAATTGGGACTCGACAATCCACCATATGCTGCCAAGTTCTACGACTTTTGTGGGGCTGAGGATCTTGGGCACTTTCTCTTTGTTTATTACTAATTAGACATTCTAATTTGAAAGTTTTTCTTGAAGTGATACAGATATAAGATTTATGCAGATGACATATGCCCTTCAGAAATTTTTGCACAGTAATTTGTTTCTCACACACTCATGTTTAATCTTGTACGTCGTTTTTGTTTGATTTTTTTTCATCTAATGGTTAGAAATGAACCAACACTATGAAAACCACCTTCCTTTACCGGAAGAGAAAAAGTGTTGAATCCCTTAACAAATCGAGGACAGTTTAATCTGGTTTTACATATTCGATCAAAATTCTTGAACACCGTGTTACTACACAAAAAGAGTAAATAATAAGGATTAAGTATCTAAAACTCCTCAATTTTTTAGTGTAATTCCAAATTGATCTCAATTTTTTTAAACATTCCAAACAAGTACTTAATCTATTGGAAATGTCACATCCATTAAGCCCTAGTTAAAAATCTGTTACATTAACTTGAGCATAGTTTGTCTCCAAAATCAATAAAATGTCATGAAAGCATATCATCCACCAACGAATGGTCACCATCAGCCTCATCATGCCATCACCTCCAAATTGATCTCAATTTTTTTAAACATTTCAAACAAGTACTTAATCTATTGGAAATGTCACATCCATTAAGCCCTAGTTAAAAATCTGTTACATTAACTTGAGCATATTTTGTCTCCAAAATCAATAAAATGTCATGAAAGCATATCATCCACCAACGAATGGTCACCATCAGCCTCATCATGCCATCACCTCCAAACAAAACACAAACCCACTAACTCCACCCTACAACTCTTTTAATTTGTTTATTCACTTATTAATTAATTGGTGAGAGGATGAAACATTTCACTGCTATTACTAAAAAACTAACAGAATCTGACATAAGAGCTTTCGTTTCTTTTTCTTTGCTTGCATTAATTTTGTATTGTTTTTTTTTATTTGGTTAGAGAAAGAGGAAGAATATAAGGAGAGGAGAATTATATCCTTCGAGTTTCTAGAAGTTTTAATGTGTTTCGCGTCCTGCATTTTCGTAACGTCTGTACAAGTTGTCACTTAGATCTTTTGGTTTTTGGTTACTTTAGTTTTTCAGCATTGAATTATAGGATTAAAGTTTTTGATTGAGTTCTTATTTAATTCCAGATTGGAATGGGTGCAATATGAGCACTCCTAAAACTGAAAAGTTCTCTGAAATTTGATGGTTGTGTCAGATAGGTTTATCGTCCATGCAAGGATGACATACCACAATGGAGGATGTTGTGAGTGCATTAAACTTTTCTCTTCCTATTAGAAGTTTTCAGAACATAAAATCCTTTTATGTCTATTCTCAGAAGTTTCAATTGTTGTATCCTTTTTTGTCTTTATTTAGCATGCTATAGTTTGGATTCAATTGAATATGATTTTACTTGACATGTTCAATTGACTGCATATATCTAATTCCATTGGCGGATTATTATCTGTCCTTAGTTTGAATGCATCAGTAAACATTGTTTGTTTCACCACCAAGTACGATTACGGAAAACATATATAATAGACAATTTATTTACTTTTTGATGGACATACTAGAGGATTCGTAAACATGCTAATAGAAAATACTCTTGATAAGCACTAGAGAATGATGTTATTCATGCAATTACGCCTGAAACAGTTGATTCCCGCCGCAACGCATGAGCTTATTATCTAGTAAAACATATAATTGGAGAAGTTTTCGCTCAACCTTGGAATTTTATGAAAAGAGCTTCCTTTTTTTACATCCAGCACCACAAAAGTGATGGTCCATCCCCAAAAATAAGACAAAAGTGATGGTCCATCCCCAAAACAATTTCTAGTGAGGGTTCAAACTTAAACCACAAAGAAAAGTCAGTGGTTGTCAGGCATGCAGATAGCAATAATTGTTCTACTTGAGTTGGCAAAGAAACCCAAGCAAGACAAAAAGAAACCCAAGCAAGACAAAAAGAAACCCAAGCAACACAAGCCTTGATCCAAACCACAAGAAATGAGAGAAAAAGGAGCATAACAAGTTCTTCTTTGACGGCCTAGCAATGGGCCACAAAAGTGTCGCTTTTTCTCAATTTATCTTCTTTCAATGGTAGACTGTGAAATTCCGTCCCTAGAATTTCACTATTAATTACTTATCTTGTTATTTAAATTCGTATTACACGTTTTCACTATTTTCATTAGTTAATTTTAAATTCCGTTAATTTAGAAATTAAATTGAATAGTTATCGGTTTGAAATTTGGTATTGAATCTTTAAAATTCGTTGACCTGTCAAGGTCACAAGTAACGTTTTCGAATAGATCTCGAAACCACGAGCACATAGGCGAAAGCCGTTTGCGAGTCCGGATTATGACGGTATAGTTGCGGATATTTGAGGTCGTTTTACTAAACTTTAGATTATAAATTTAATATAACTCCCACTTTGTTGGGGGAGGCCCAATGAAAAAAGGAGAGTGAAAGGCAAGGGACAAATCAGAAAAGAGAGAGAAGGAGAGGGACAAAGATAGAGGAAGGGTTGGTGGAGTCTTCTTCTTTCCCTCAGTTTTCTTTTTTGCAGCTCCAAAACGAAGGAGGAAGGAGACGAAGAAGGAATTCGTAAAATTCTGTTTGTTGAGCTTTTGGTGACTGAAGAAATAAACAAAGAAGGAGAGATGGAGGACACAATTGCAGCAAGATTCGATGGACTTCATGTTGGTCCAGTCATTATGATGTCCTTCAGATTAGCAAGATTACCAAGAGATTATACATATAAATGGTGAGTAGCATAACAGACGGAAGGCTTTAAAATGTGTTTGATATTTTCTGGTTTTGTTGATTAATTTTTATAATTTTGAAATCCATGGGTTAATTCCACATGTCCTACAATATCTGTTGTTCTTCGTTTGTGTGTGGTGTTTGTTTATTAGATTCAATGAATGAGCATGAGGTTCTTTTCCTTCAATTTCTTTTCTGGTTTTGGTAGGTGTTGTCGACGCTTGCTACATATATATTTGAATTGAAACTGCCACGATATATTTGGAGTTCTTGGTTTTGTTTAGGGTTTTCTACCATTCAATGAAGCAGTCTGAACATGAATCAATGGTGAGATGCATGTCGTTGTCTAACTCATCTTCAGCTCTGTCTCTTTCACTCTTGAGGTACCTGCTGTTGGAGTACGTTTGCTGTTGTCGATCTACAGGTAAAGCTTCAATTTCCATATTGGGGTTCCATTTTTCTTCATTTCTGGAATTTGGGTTTTAATTTCAGTAATTTATTTCTATTAATTTTGGTTCTGTGTTTAGTAAATTTTGTTCTTAATTTTACTAAGATTTTGAGTTTTTTTTTCCTCTGCAAATTTCGATTAAATTGCTTGCAATTGAATTATTTTGTAATTTTCTATAAACTCCCTGTATATTAATTATTTGTTCCAATAGCAGGTAATCAGGTATTGCATATTTTGAAAACTTCGATTAATTTTTTCATGTTCTTTTCTGGTGAGAAGGTTAGGGATAAGCTCTGCACCCAAACTCGAGAGTGACCCACCCTGTTTGCTCTGTTTTTGGATTTCATTTTTTAATTTGATATTTTGTTTGCAGCCACTGGAAAGAGGCCGCATGAAAATTTCTCTTCTGGGAGTTATGAAGGAGTTAGGGAGGAAGAACAGAGTCTTGCCGTCAGATTTAGTAAGTACCTGCCAAAAGCCATGGGATTTGGAAATATCAATTTCTTTCTTGCTTATTAGCTTAAACATCTAAGAACCTAGGTAATCTTTTTTTTTTCTTTTCCTACTGTCTCACTGCATACAATGTGTTGATTTACACAACAAAGTCGTTCCCCACATGTGTGAGGATCTGTGCGTGCAACCTCATTGGTTAAGCAGACGTTGGTGCTCCATTTTGTGATACCATGGACAAGCAAGAGAGTAAAGAGGAGTTTGATTGCATAATTACTCAGAAAAATAAGTGTATTTATTTTTAACTATTCTGAAGTGAAATCAGTGGTCATCTACTGGTCCAGTTCAATGTTGTCCGAGTTTACAAGGGACGACGCAACACTTATATGATACTTTTCTTATTGGCTGTATGTGAATCATCAATATCTTATGGATTAATATGCTTACCATTTCATATACGGATGTTTTGATTCATGTTAAACTTTGTTTGTATTATTTTTGTGTTTGTCATTGGCAGTTGAATTTGAAAACATTCATAGTTATCCATAGGACCTTGAGGGAGTATGCAATTAGTATTCATATAGATGGTTATTCATGTTAACGATAAAAGCATCTGGTTTAGGTTTGTCCTCAAAATTTATGCTTAGTTGTAAGAATGCTTTTGCTTAGTTGTTCATGTAAAAATGGAACATTATTTTTGTACATATATCATTTTATATTCGTTTAATGTTTGAACTTATGCTTATTAACTTGGTTATTGGTAAGGCTCTTCTAGAGGCAGTGTTGGCGTTTAGATGATGAGGAAGTAGGCGCTGAGGAGGAAATGGCGAAGTTGGAGGACCAAAAGGTCCATATGAAAGCCGAAGAATCCAAAGGTAAACCTCTTCGAAGTCTTCGATTATGGTGTTCTTTAGTTGATTGCAAGACTAGAACTTGAAAAACTAACACATGCATATAATTTTTTGTGAAGGAACTGCGGTCCAGTGGCTGGATAGAAGAAAAGGACAATGCATGCTCTCTCTCTCTCACGGTAGCTCCGTGTTCCTCTCCCCCCAAACCTAATGGCTTCGGCCCAATTCGGAGCCTGCTCGGATCGGGACCTCTTGGAGATTCGGAGCTCCAGGTGAGGTAATTTTCCCCAAATTGTATTCAATCTATGTTGCTTCATTTCATTTTCCATTTTAATTTGGAATTGTTGATATTTTAGGCGGGTATCACATGTATAACCAGAACAATTTTTGTGTTGGATTGGGGTCAAATTGTCCAGCTTTATTATCTATTTGGTCGCCTGTGTATTTGTAATCTGAATAGTATGAATTAGGGTTTTTCTATTAGTGTCCTATTAGTCAAGAAAGGATGCTTTTATTTTTTTGTTTTTTTTTTGTTATCATGCATATTTAAGCTGTAAACATCTGAAAAACTGCTTTATTGAAGTGAGATTTCCAGTTTTTGAGCTCAATTTCAGGTCTTGAGCTTTGAATTTGTTTACATGTAGCCCAACTGAAGCTATCTACGTCGTAGTTTGAAGTATTTGTATTGGTGACTGTGTTTTCGTTGCGCAATATGAGTTGCCCCAATATCTTTTGTATGCAATTTGGTGTAGACAAGTAGTTTTTTTGGGAGGGTATTGGAAAAAAATATGAAATTGATTTGCGCTCAATGCATAGTTAATCTTAAAATGCGGTTTATTAAATTGGTTTGATGATTTATAGATGGTAGCAAATTTGCTATGTCAACTCCTACAAGGAAGAGGCTGATGAGAGACTTCAAGAGGCTGCAACAAGACCCGCCCGCAAGGATTAGCTGGGGGCCTCAGGATAACAATATAATGTTGTTGACGAGGTTAGTTATATTTTAGGCTCTACTTCTGCAAATGTGAACTCTTTACGTGGATACCTAATTTTATGTGAGTTTTAATAGTTATATATCAAACTCCACTGCACTAAACTCTGTGAACAATTATAATTAGAACTTGGATGAAATGGGTTCCATCCAGCAAAACTCTTGCCCTATTAAAAAAATATAAAAAACTTAAAGAAAATTTGATAATTTCTCATAGTTTAGGCCATTTATCCAAGTCAGAATGAGAAACACAGATGTTTTCTGTATCTTTAGGCTATATTTTTAGCTGTAAATCGTATGGAGTAAATCTCTTGGTGTCATTCTAAATAGACTGGAAATATGTCTCAAGCAAAATTTACGTTGATGTTTATCAATGGAAATAAGTTTTGAAGTGATTACCTTTCTTTATACAAGTTCTCTTCACAAAGAAACCTATATTATGGTTTCACTTTTACTTGCTTTGGCACGGGGGGAGGTGTCTGGTCATGTAATTGGCGTGTCATTACACACTACATTTTTATTATCCTTATCTTCTATATTAATATCACCATTCTCACCCGAAGGTTGCCTCTTCCAAGTCGGTATTTGATGATCTCCAATCCCTTTTGTGTGATTTCTCTGATTTGAATCTCGGATGGTTCCTCAGGGAGGGCAGATTTTTGGGTTTTTGGTTTTTAGGACCCTTCAATTTTGTTTTGTTTTAACTTTTGAGGTATGATTTTATAGAAATTAACGGTTGGAATTAACTTTGGTAATCTTGATTTTGGTTTGGTTCAGCTAGGGTGTAGTTGAGTCCACTTATTAGTTATTAAGAACTTAATATATATGTAGTTGTCCTGTTTGGCTTTGGCGTTTTGATTGGGTGTTTGTTTGGATTTTGGGAATTACCATTGATAGATAGCATTCAAGCAAGATGCATAACTCATACCCACATTTTTTTTTCATATTCCTTTTCTGCCATCTCTTATTTAGATTTGTGTAATTGGTTGGCTCAAAGATGGTTTACAAGGCAAGGCTCTATATTCATCTTCAGATTGGTCCATATATTTGTTCAGAATGGAATTTTGGGTAATGATCATTTTCCTCAGCAGTTTGTTGTTTCATCAAAGATATAGTCCGACAATTGCTCGGGTGACAATGTCCTTTGGTGACTGGTTGGATTAGCCCACTTTTTTGTTGGTATATATTTTCTTATGTGGCTTTCTGTATATATTAGACTTCTTCTACTGTAATTTAACAGATTTAATAGTTACTTCATTCAATGAATAGCTCTTCGGTATCCATTTTGAAATCAGCATCATTTACTTTCATATTGATTCACCATCACCTAACAAGGTTTATTTGGACCCAAAACAAATCATAATTAATTGTTCACTAATCTGCTGCTTTATTGTCAATAACCCTTTAGATTGGGAAGCACCATACTGTTTCCAATCAATTAGTTTGATGGGTGTTTTAACAATTTCCTAGGGTGGGAAGCACCTAGCTTTTTTTTTGTGTGGAATATTAGTACCATGCTACCATGATAGCTATTATAACTAATAATCAATATGTTGTAAAGATGTCTCAATTATTGAGAACGACGCATATGTTCTGTTAGTTTGATTGAAACTACAATTGGTCAAATTACAAAGAAAATGAAACATTCTCTCTTCTTTTTCTCTCCTATTGCATTTGGGTTTTCTCCTGTTTCTATTTCTATTGATCTAATTTTGGGTGCAGTTGAATTTTGGTTGTGTCAGTAACTTGAGATGATTGTAAAGCAGTACATGTTGATTTTGGTTGTGTCAGTAACTTGAGATGATTGTAAAGCAGTACATGTTGTGTTGATGCCTTTTACTTTACATGCATATTTGTTTCGTAGGAATTAAACTTGCAACTGAAAAAACGACGTGGTACCTAAGAACCAATGAAGTCAAACTTTGCTTCCTATGTATGGATATGCATGCCATAAGAAACATTCATTTGTAGATTGTATTGTGTCATCAATAATATAGTTTCAATTAATTAGTCTACTACATGAAGGAAAAACACAGAAAAGAGAGAGTAGAAAAGTAGAAGGCATAATACCTCAGCACTTGGCAGGAATAGTAAGTTTCTGAAAAAATTGCTAAATAGTCTTACAAATTTAGTCGTTAAACGTTGTACTACAACCCAAGACAAATATATAGTTTGTTTACAATTCAAAACAAAGTGCTGCTATAATTCGCAACAGCCATGAATCATTTTCGCATAAAGATATTCAAATTTGACGGCACATCGAATAACTAGAAAGCAAAGCAAAATATGCCATGTGCTAACACGGAGCAAAATCAAAAGAAGGATTAAATATCTAAAATTTTCCGTAAGGCATCAATTGACAAAATGCTTCTTCTTAATGTGGTCTTCCAAGAAATGAATGCAGATCCAAAACAACTCAAAAAACATCTTAGAATTAATAAATAGAAGCATAAATGGACATGATAGCTCCCTAATTTTGTAAACAAACTATATCTTTGTCTTGGGTTATAGTATAAAGTTTAACGACTAAATTTGTAAGACTGTTTAACAATTTTTTCAAAAACTTACTATTCCTACCAGATGCTCAGGTATTATGCCTTCTACTTTTCTACTTTCTCTTTTCTGTGTTTTTCCTCCATGTAGTAGGCTAATTAATTGAAACTATGTTATTGATGACACAATACGATCTACAAATAAATGTTTCTTATGTCATGCATATCCATATATAGGAAGCAAAGTTTGACTTCATTGGTTCTTATGTACCATGTTGTTTTTTTTCAGTTGCTTTGTGTGAAAACTATTTATGCCTGTTGCAACTAATACATTTGCGTTGGCACATTTTCTATTATATGGTATAAAAACAAGGATGCTTTTAGACATTTTTCATTCTAGCCCTGTCGTTCGTGTCTTTCGATTTTAGCAACCATAGTTTGAAAAAATTTCTATCCGTAGTTTGAAAATTTTTCCATCCGTAGTTTCAAAAATTTTCTATCGTAGTCAATTTTTTTTTTTTTATAAACAGTATCTATTGTTATTTTTTCATTTCAACAACCAAATAATTTTACGTAGATGTCAACTTCAGCGACTAACTCCATCATGATTCATGTTGATTATTCATCGCTCGGGACGTATGTCCATCACACTTTCTAGATAGCAAATAATAAGAAGAAGATATACATCCAATATGAGTGGCAGGAAAAAGAATGGAAACTGCTCTAGTGATGCATCAACGCAAGTCCCTTTCATTTCTTTGTTAACTTTTGTTTTTTTCCACGACGACTTTGAACAGACAAATCGAAATACTTCACGATTTGCACGCAACAAAACAATCACAATTATTGTACTCATGCAACAAAACAAAGTCAATTGTATTCAGTGGCAGAGCCAGAATTCTGAATGAGGAGGGGCCTTTTACACACTTATATATATATATATATATATATATATATATATGAGTGTGTGTAAAAAGTTGAATTCATAACATGTTGACATATGTAATTTGTGTAATCCTCACAAAACTGAAAAAATTCTCTTAAATTCAATACTAAAAAGAAAAAAATGTAAAAACCCCAGACAACCAAGTAAGAGGTAGGTTGTGGAAGGCTAAAGAAAATACAAAGAAGTAGAAAAAGAAGGAAAAGGGGGAGAGGTTTGCAAATAAAGAAGGTGAGTTGCTTTAGAAAATTATAGGGTGTATATTACTGTTAGGTGAGAGAATCGAACCAGAAGTGGGGTTGCTTTTTTCATTTAAAATTGCACATCTCTTTTAAAACTCCCCTACCAAACTTATCGTTTCATTAGACAGTCGAAAAGATTTAAAATCAAAACAGCTTAACGACGTCGTTTGCTTCATCTTCTTCCATGAGGTTCACACCTCAGATGAAGTCAGGATGGGCCGGGGACTACCCTAGTCCCTTGGTGGCTCCGCCCCTGATTGTATTTGCCAAACCCTCTCTAGCCACAGTTGCCTCCACGAACAAAGGAGAAAAAGGGTTCACCACCCCAGAAATAGAAGCAGCCACAAATTCTCTGTTTCCGTCTCAAATTATTATTCCAATACCTCTAACCTTCATGTCTATATCTAGACATGTAAACGGATCGGGTTTATTGGGGTTGGATCGGGTTCAACCCGACCCGTTAAGTTAACGGGTCATTCGAACCCAACCCGTTTCATCAGTTAACACCCGTTAACAATTATTATTATTATTTTTTTTTTGCATAGAGTTTATATTTTGTTGTTAAGATTTTATTGAAATTACTAAAATATCCTTAACTAAGGGGTGTTAACGGGTCTAACGGGTTGACCCAAAGTGACCTGTTATTTAACGGGTTGTTAACGGGTTCACCCGTTAAGTATCCACCTAAATACTAATATTAACGGGTCGGGTCGGGTCCAAAATGCTAGGTTTATCTATATCCCAAGCAGCCATAAACTCTTCATTATCTTCAATCTTCTTGAAAGTATCGTTTCTCTTAAAAAAATTGCTGACATGGAAATAATACACTTCACTAATGTACATTTGGCAAATAAATTGAACCTATATTCACTTCTATCATACCCTATCCAACTCGAGTTGAAATCTTCTGCACCCAAAAGCCTTTGTGACATCCTTGTGGCCTTTCTTAGAGCTTGACACATGTTAACTACTAACTCTAGTTTAACACTGTTAACTCAGAAAAAGATTAAAAATAAATAAATAAACGGATCCATCTCCATCGCGCTCTCAGCTCTCTCAATCTCACCCTCTTCTACCTCTCAACCCATAGAAACCATAGCGCCAACTCCTTCCTCCCTTCCCTGCCATCTTCACCCCTACAACCTATCTGTAGACATCGAAATTTTGGTAAATAAATGTTGACCGATAAATCAAAGTTTCAACGCTCATGTATTACATAAATTTTACACGTAGCATGTGTCTAAACAAAAATCGAAATAAGTTAGAAAAGTCATCAAACATGACACGTGTCAACACCTGGCAGAAACGACTTATTTCATCTGGAATATTATATTCAAAATTAGGCCTTGGAAATCTCTATAAACAGAAGGCTAATTCATTCATTTCAAGAGAACCAAAATCATTAGGCAAAATTCTGAAGCTCTGAAGCTCTGAAACTTCGAAGCTCTCAAGCATCCAGGTTCCCGAAGAATCAAGAAAGCATTCTTCGTTCATCGTTCTTCCAAGATCAAGCCCCGACGGCCCTTGAAGAAAGCATTCTTCGTTCTTCGTTCTTCCAAGATCAAGCCCCGACGGCCCTTGGATTAACAATCACTAATTCAAGATCAAGCCCCGACGGCCCTTGAAGAAAGTGTTCTTCGTTCTTCGTTCATCGTTCTTCCAAGATCAAGCCCCGACGGCCTTTGGATCAACAATCACCAACTCAAGATCAAGCCCCGACGGCTCTTGAAGAAAGCGTTCTTCGTTCTTCGTTCATCGTTCTTCCAAGATCAAGCTCCGACGACCCTTGGATCAACAACATCAACAAATCCATACATCCAACTGTTCTTCAAAATCAAGCCCAAAAGCCCTTGAAGATCCGTTCATCACCGTTATTCAAGATCAAGCCTTAACGGCCCTTGAAGAAACACTCATCCTCAAGATCAAGCCCTAACGGCTCCTTGAAGATCCGCTCAAATCCACCTTCAAAGATCAAGCCCACGACCCCTTGAAGAAACTTCCAACAGTTCATCCAAGATCAAGCCTCGACGGCCCTTGGATCAACGAAACATCCACAAATCAATACCTTACGGAGATCGAATCAGAGGATCAAAATAGAGAGAGATTGTAACCCAAAATCATTAAATACAAATATTATTTTGTGCACGTTGTTCTTGTCTCTTTCGTTTCAGGAAATTTTCGTGTTCACAAATTGGCACGCCCAGTGGGACAATCTCTACCTCTCATCTCTTTCTCCGTTCAAGAAATTCAAGCACACTTCCAAAATTAATGGCATCAAGGAAGGCTCAAACTGTTCCCGTAACAGGCGCAAATAACAAGAGCGTCATCGTCGCAAGTGGTGTCACTTTAGGCATCACGACTCGAAGCAAGGCAAGAGTTACTTCTGCCGCCTCTTTCACCTCTGCATCAACTCTGCCAAGGGAACAAGAGCACCCAAGGCACGAGCCTTTGATCACCTTAGCCTCACCAAGGGCACCAAGGGGCGAAAGTCCAAGGAAATACTCTGAATCCATGCTCTTCGATGCCGATTCGAGCGGCAGTTCAGCCATGCAAGTCATGACCATTGGAGCAACTTCAATCGATGAGCAGCTGGCTCAAATGAATGAAGCAATCGCAAGGCTAACCCGAACTGTGGAAGAAAAAACTTGCAAATCGCTGCACTCGTCAGCCGACTGGAGCCACAGGACGGCGAGAACCCTAACCCAGAAGATGAGCCTACGGTGGAGAGAATCGATGCGAAGCCGGAGCCAGACCAAGCAGCGGCACTCATGGGATCTCTTTATATCCAGCAGCTGCAAGAGATGATCACCAACACCATCAAGGCACAGTACGAAGGGAGCTCAAATACCTCCGGGTTGTACTCGAAGCCGTATTCAAAAAAGATCGACGCCTTAAGGATGCCGATGGGTTATCAACCGCCAAAGTTCATGCAATTTGATGGAAAGGGAAACCTGAAACAACACGTTGCCCACTTTGTTGAAACTTGCAACAACGCAGGGACTGAAGGGGACTACCTCGTCAAGCAGTTTGTGCGCTCGCTGAAAGGAAACGCCTTTGAGTGGTACACAGACTTAGAGCCTGAGTCCATCAACAGCTGGGAGCAATTGGAGCGGGAATTCCTTAACTGCTTCTACAACACTCACCGCACTGTGAGCATGCTAGAGCTAACGAGCACAAAGTAATGGAAAGATGAGCCGGTCATTGACTACATCAACAGATGGCGCACTCTAAGCCTCGACTGCAAAGACAGGCTCTCGGAGACCTCTTCAATCGAGATGTGCATCCAAGGTATGCAATGGGGTTTGCAATACATCCTTCAAGGCATTAAACCACGGACCTTCGAAGAGCTAGCCACCCGCGCCCATGACATGAAGTTAAGCATCGCCCATCATGGGAAGAAAGAACCGATCTCTAACTACAAGATTGACAAAGTTCTTAAGACAAAGGTGGAGAATGCTGCGTGGAAATCCACCAAGGAAGCAATGACGGTCAACACAACTCCCGTAAAAATTCCTACACGAGGCAAGGTGATTCAAACCGAAGCTTTTCGTGATCAAGAGATGCGTAGACGCACTTTGAATGAGCTTGAGGAGAAGACTTATCCATTCCCCGACTCTGATGTGGTTGCCATGCTAGATGACTTGTTGGACAAGAAGATGATCAGTTTGCCTGAATGCAGACGGCAGGAAAAGATGAGTCGTACCGACAGTCCAAGATACTGTAAATTCCACCGCTTCATTAGTCATCCGACAGAAAAATGCTTCGTGCTGAAAGATCTCATCATGAAGCTGGCTCAGAAAGGAATCATCAAGCTAGATCTTGACGATGTGGTGAAGTCAAACTATACCACCATCACTTCTGGCTCTTTAACACAAAGTTTTCACCTCAACCGCTGGAGGCATGCTCAAAGTCAAGCGAAGTTGAAGGATGGACTCAAGTCACTCCTAAGAAATTGCACAAGAAGCATACGTCTCATCCACAAGTCCGCCAATCAGAAAGGGGGCAAAGCAGCTCTTGTCAACCTTCAAAGCAACGTGAACGTGTTAAAGATGATGAAATTACGACATAAAGATCGTCTGTTGCCATCACGATGCGCGACTTCTTACCCGAAGACTTCTTCAATCACGCGGTCAAGGCTCCTTGCTATGAAGATTGTGAGGAACGCCTTTCCAAAATTGCTTGACAAATTCACCAATTCTCCTTGCCCGCACGAGTCTAAACTGCATGGCATAAAGCTCCTTGTCCGCACGAGCCTAAACTGTAGGACACACTGCTCCTTGTTCGCACGAGCCTAAACTGCACGAACCAATGCTCCTTGTTCGCACGAGCCTAAACTGCACGAACCAAAGCTCCTTGTCCATAAGAGCCTAAACTGTTGGACGCAAAGCTCCTTGTCCACAAGAGCCTAAACTGTTGGACGCAAAGCTCCTGATCCGCATGAGCATAAAAGGCGACACCAACGCTCCTGGTCTGCACGAGCATAAAAGGCGACACCAAATGCTCCTTGTCTGCACGAGTTGAAACTGCAAACGATACCAACACTCCTTGCCTGCATAAGTTAAAACTGCAAACGGCACAAAAAAAGAAAATACCAAAAAAATATGCATGTATTTGAACTACGTTTTGACTTGATCTCTTTCTTTGGAAGGGTACGTAGGCAGCTCGAGCATTCAGTTTTGAGTTCAGTCACATTCAAAAAAAAAAAAAAGGGCTTTATTAAAGTTTCATCGATGAAGTTCAATTTAATTACAAATTTATTTACAATTTTCTTTGTACAAAATTAAATTACAGTTTCTTTATAAAAAAAATAAAAAATTTGAATGCATATGTTATTATGTATAATAAAATATATATATATATATATATATATATATATATATATATATAAACAGCCTCCAAATCCAAGGAATCCAGGCCCAAGCCCAGCAAGTTTCTCCATCTCGTCCCAACCAAGTTGCCATGTCCTCCAGCCATTCTTTCTCTCTTAGGAGGGCCGGAAATTATATACCCTACAAATAAGCCCATATATAGATGGCCTTATAGTATGTCGGCAAGCCCAAATCTCTCATGTTGGGCTGGAATGGTGAAGACGAAACACAAAATGAATACGCACTTAGAAGCCATCCACTCCCCTTGGGCTTGCTATGCCATCCGTCATCCGCAACATCTTCCTTTGCCACCTAGCCCTCCACCTCAACCACTTGTTCTTAACCCTCTCTCATTCTTCTTAGCACACCCGACCGACGGCAATGACGAAGATCCCAGCTTCCTCGAAAAGCCCACAACATCAAAACATCTGGGACCGCTCTGAGAGAGAGAGATGGCGAGGAAGCCGACATCTTTAACCTGAAGAATTTGCTAGAATCCTCCAGCTTTCTTTCGTCAAACATTTCCGACTATAAAAATTAAAACCCAAATACGAAATCGGCGTGCAATTTGGATATTAGAGAATGCCAACATGAACCATACGGATATGGAAATGATGGAGGTGGAGACGACGGCGGCTGGCCGGCTGGAGCTGCTGTCCAGGACTGGCCAAGGTGACGTCTCCAGGGACTTGCTCACATTGTCTCGCCAGCTCCTCAATCAAGGCAAGCCTTCCCAGGCCCTCCAAGTGGTTGTTATGGCAATGAGAACAAGAGGTGGGGACGAGGCTGTATTTCAGTCCTTGCATCATGCTCGTGAGCTGTACAGAAGTAGATTGCAAGAAAGCTCTGCTGCTGATCAACTAGCTTCTTTGTTTTCCGAATGTGCAATTGCCGAAGCTCATCCTTGGAAGACTGAACCAGAAGCAGCATATAACGTGGGTGGTCCATCGGTTGGTCTTGGACCTGATGGTCAAGGAAGTTCCATTCTAGCGGAAACTGGCAGGATGCAGATTGTTTTGGATGCATTTTCAGATGGGAGTAGCTTCATTTGTTTACAATGCGAAGGTCTTGTTAGCAATCATCGCAATAAACGCAGCACTCAAACTGAAACGACAAGCAGCAATGACGACGGCAAAAGTCTCCGACATCAAGGTTCTCAGCCTTCACGTCCTCATCAGCATCGACGAAGCTCGCTACCTACAATTCCAGCTCCGTCCCTTACAGCAGACGCTCCCTCAGCAGCACCAGCAGCTACCTCACTCCTCCAAACCCCATTTGCTGCACATGGTGCGCACACCCGAAGCAAGGTGGCCTCTACCACTAGTCCACCTCCGCCATTCTCGCCAGCAACGTCGTTTCCTAGCAGTTCAGCGCCCTCTTCCGTGCTCTCCTCTTTCCTCGTTCGAGCTTCCCAACTCCCAAATCAACTTGTGGCAGTGCGAAAACCCTCATGCAACAGCATGCAGTGGCTTCCATAGCAGCAACGAAGCAGCAAAGACAGCACGTGCAGTCCAGCATCCCTTGCAGTGATGAAGCTCAACCCATTTGCAGCAGCTTTCGTGCAGTGAGCGTAGCAAACAGCAAAGGCAGTGCAACGGGTGTGCAGTGGCTGTACTCAGTGGCGGTGCTCGGTGGCAGTGCAACGGATGCGCAGTGGCTGTGCTAGGTGGCAGTGCAACGAGTGTGCAGTGGTTGTGCTCTGTGGTTGGGCTCAATAGGCTGTGCTCTGGGTTCTAGCTGGATCCGACATCAAGGTCACCTCCACGCCAGCCCGTATTCGTCCACTCCTTCAACCGCACCAGCAATGTCGTTCCCAATAGTCCAGTGCCTTCCTCCATGATATCCCCCATCCATATATATATATATGCCAGAAGAATAAAGAAGGAATGGTGGAGTCTTGGGTGCTCTGGCACCATGAAAAAAAATGGAATGTTGATTCATCATGGCACCATGTGTAAGCACCACCGAAAGCAAAGAAAAAAAAAAGGTACAATAATAATGTAAAAATGGATGGTGCTTCAGGCACCATGTGCAAAGAAAAAAAAAAATAAAAAAAAAAAAAAAAAAATATATATATATATATATATATATATATATATAAATGGATGGTGGATCGCACCATGTGCCAGCAAAAAGAAAAAAAAAGAAAAAAAATTGAGTGATAGTGGTAGTGCCAGCAAAAAGAAGAAAAAAATAATAATAAAATATAAAAAGAAAAAGAAAAAAGAAGGAAGTGGTAGTGGTAGTGCCAGTCAAAAGAAGAAAAAAAAGTATATATATAATAAATAAAAAAGAGGAGAATGGAATGGTGGTGTCGGCATGGGCATCATGTGAATATATATATATATATATATAGTGGATTGTGGGTCTTCACCATTGAAAAAAAATATATATATCTTTATGCTTTTGGCACTAAATATATATACACACACACAAAGAATAAAATAAAGCTCATTTATTAATTTCTTTGAAAATTTACAGAAATATACATTTTACATCAGTAAAAAAAAAAAAAAAAACAAAACAAAACAGGAGGGAGCCTTCACGAAGGTTGCTCGTGTGAAGCCTCACCACTCGGTGAAGCTCTAGGAAGAAGAGGCGCCGGAGGTTGACTGTTTGGCACCTCATCACTCGGTGGAACCCTAGAAGGAGGAGGCACCGAAGGTTGATTATTTGGAGTTTCATTACGCGGTACAGCCCCAGAAGACGAAGGCAAATGTTGTTGGAACAAACCCACAAACCTCTGATGATCAAGTAAAATCTGATCGTCAGATTCCTGCATCTGGCCAATCTTCATCTTCATGTTTGTGGCATAGTTATGTGCAAGCATGTGCAACTGTTTATTCTCATGCTTGAGCCCTCTAATCTGCTGTTTGAGACTTATCACTTCAGCCGCCAATGATTCAACTTGACGGGTTCGAGCAAATAGGCGTTGGGCCATATTAGACACAGAACCTGCACATTGCACACTAAGAGCCAGAGAATCCTTAACAGCCAACTCATCAGACTGTTTGGAAAGTAGTCTGTTATCTTGGGAGTGACAAGGTTCATGGCCACCACCGCAGTGGTCATATCATTCTTCATCATCGAATCCCCAACGATAAGAGGACCAGTAGGGGATATGAAGGATGGGCGCCATATGTTGTCTGGAGAAGGCGGAACTACCTCTTCACCAAGGTTCAAATCAAAACGACGATCGGAGGGTCCAGACATTTTCAAAAGTGTTGAAGAAAGAAGAGGTCGGACAAATCAAGATCTTAGAAGTGCAAGAAGGGAGTTTCTACAAGCGAAAATTCAAATGTGCTTTGAAACGAACTGCGTGCCTCTATAAAAATCAATACTCGACGGGATTTCAGAGATTGAAGAGGCGAGCTCAGAATTCGAAGAGGCCAATTCAAAAATCGAAGAGGCAAGCTAAGAAATCGGAGAAGCATCTTGCTTTTCCAGACGCGTAAGCACCCGTCACGCTCAAACTCAGCTTTGCAGAAATCACGAGCAATTTGTCGAAGCGCCAATCCCAGATATCGAAGAGGCACCGGTCTTTTTCAGCCTCGTCAACACCGGTCACACGCAAGCTCAGCTTTGCGGAAATCACGGGCAATTTGTCGAAAACGTCGATCCCAGATATCGAAGAGGCGCTAGTCTTTTTCAGCCTCGTCAACACCTGTCACATGCACACTCAGCTTAACGAAAATTACGGACAATTTGTCGAAGATTTCTGATAAAGAAGAAATCACGTGAAGTCATACTGATCAACCACGCAATGGTTGCTGACACGAGTGAAAAAAAATAGTACCTCTACAGGTATTAAAGAACTTCCTATAACTATCCACCTTCACCCTCCATAGCAAGGCAGACATACAGAACCTTTCTTCATCTCCAAAAATGCTTTCCCAACGAAGCCTCTCGAGTCACTCAGTGTTCCTTATTCCTTGGGGTACCTCTGCAAGCAAATGACTCCAAAGCAAAAGTATCTCATATCACCAGGGTAGAAAGCAAGAGTATCTCATATCATGCCTTCTCCCTATCCTTTCCTTTGTCCTTGTTCTTACCTACAAAGACAAGGATAAAGAAAACAATATGCCGGAACCTCCACTCAAACTCGGGTAAGGAATCGACTACCTGGAACCTTTGCTTGGTTGCTTACCTGGCATTGCTCTCTAGTACTCATCTTCAGCTGCTGATGTACTTCCAAAGAAGCTGCCACATATGCCTGAAGAACAGATAAGGCAAGTGAAAATGATACATTGCAGCACGTGGAGACAACGTGCAGAAGAAACAAGCAGAGAAGAATGCAGCCTGCACAGTCAACTCAGCAGAAGGAGTCTGAGATGAGGAACTCAAGAAGATGCCACATCTGCCTGAGGAACAGATAAAGGAAATGAAAATGATACCTTGAAGCATGTGGAGACAAGTGCAACAAAGCACGTGCTAATTCATCCGCTACTTCTTCAAAATCAAAAGTATCTCGTATCATCAGGGTTGCAATCACTTTGGGTAGTTGACTCGTTTTGACCCTCAAATTCTTGGGTCAACTTGCTAGGCGTTGTGAGCTGCACGTGCCGATTCATTACCCTTGAATCAAATCCTTAAAGATCAAGTCACCAACTGGAAGAAGAACCCATCAATCTTGAAGATCATACCGTTGACCAAACTGCTCAGGTGTGAATTAGAAAGATTGAACAAAGCAACAAGTCGTCACCTTCACCTCGTGCCTGTTTGCCATGTGTTCGAGTTAACCTTCAAGAATCAAGCCTTAACGGCCCTTAAAGAAGCTTCCAGCCAAATTCAAGATCAAGCCTCGACGGCCCTTGAGGAAATCACAAGTCCGATTCAAGATCAAGCGTCCACCATATTTGAATCAAATCCAGTTCAAGAATAAGCTGTGGAAAACCAACAATTGGAGGAATCCAGAAAATCCTCCAACCCAGTTCAAGATCAAAGCTGTGGAAAGTCAACAAGTGCAACAAAATACGTGCCGATTCATCCACTACCAAGGCCAAGGATCATCTACCACATGAAACTCCTTGTGGTCAAATTTCAACCTTCAAGATCAAGCCTCGACGACACTTGAAGAAATCTCAAGCCCAATTCAAGATCAAGCATCAACGGCCCTTGAAGAAGTCTCCAGCCCAATTCAAGATCAAGCCTCGATGGCCCTTGGATCGACATCTACAGTAAGGGACTTCAAAACGCATATCCTACACGTGACAAGCACATGTATACGACGCGCCTTGAAGTGGCGGCATTTGTAGACATCGAAATTTCGGTAAATAAATGTTGACCGATAAATCAAAGTTTCAACGCTCATGTATTACATAAATTTTACACGTAGCATGTGTCTAAACAAAAATCGAAATAAGTTGGAAAAGTCATCAAACAGGACACATGTCAACACCTGGCAGAAACGACTTATTTCATCTGGAATATTATATTCAAAATTAGGCCTTGGAAATTTCTATAAATAGAAGGCTAATTCATTCATTTCAAGAGAACCAAAATCATTAGGCAAAATTCTGAAGCTCTGAAGCTCTGAAACTTCGAAGCTCTCAAGCATCCAGGTTCCCGAAGAATCAAGAAAGCATTCTTCGTTCTTCATTCTTCGTTCATCGTTCTTCCAAGATCAAGCCCCGACGGCCCTTGGATCAACAATCATCCACCTTCAAGATCAAGCCCCGATGGCTCTTGAAGAAAGCATTCTTCATCTTCATTCTTCGTTCATCGTTCTTCCAAGATCAAGCCCCGACGGCCCTTGGATTAACAATCACTAATTCAAGATCAAGCCCCGACGGTCCTTGAAAAAAGTGTTCTTCGTTCTTCGTTCATCGTTCTTCCAAGATCAAGCCCCGACGGCCCTTGGATCAACAATCACCAACTCAAGATCAAGCCCCGACGGCTCTTAAAGAAAGCGTTCTTTGTTCTTCGTTCATCGTTCTTCCAAGATCAAGCCCCGACGGCCCTTGGATCAACAATATCAACAAATCCACACATCCAACCGTTCTTCAAAATCAAGCCCAAAAGCCCTTGAAGATCCGTTCATCACTATTATTCAAGATCAAGCCTTAACGGCCCTTGAAGAAACACTCATCCTCAAAATCAAGCCCCAACGGCTCCTTGAAGATCCGCTAAAATCCACCTTCAAAGATCAAGCCCACGACCCCTTGAAGAAACTTCCAACAGTTCATCCAAGATTAAGCCTCGACGACCCTATGATCAACGAAACATCCACAAATCAATACCTTACGGAGATCGAATCAGATGATCAAAATAGAGAGAGATTGTAACCCAAAATCATTAAATACAAATATTATTTTGTGCACGTTGTTCTTGTCTCTTTCGTTTCAGGAAATTTTCGTGTTCACACTATCTACCACAGCTTTCCTTTCAAATTCCAAATTTATAGCACATGGTTTCCAAGCATCGGACGGTTGTTGCCACCGTCCTCATTATCCTCCCAACACCAAAAGTCTTCTTCTTCCGAGTGGTGGTTTTGTAATTGTACAAAGATTAAAGATCGAAAGGATATACTGGGAAAAGCCCCATCAATGGTGGCGGAGGGCTTCGATTTCTCGTAACGCCGACTGGTAGCCGCGGACCTCACGGATATGGCGGGTCTCTGTGAAGTAGGTTTGTAGTATCGGGGATCTGGAAACATACAGCGAGATTCTTAATCAAGAGGCCGAGAGGGATGGTTGTGGGATGCTTTGGTGGTGGTCGGCGTTCGGTGGGAGAGATCCTGAGAGAGGCCACAGGGGAGCCACGGAGGCTTTTGGGTGCAGAAGATTTCAACCCATCCAACTCAAGGTAATTAATATTAGGAAAACTAATGAAAAAGGTTTGAAAACTTTGAGTTTTAACGATAATG